TTTTATGTAAAGTGCTTGTAGACTTTCTCTATATTCTACTGGAAGATTTTTGTTCATGTTTACGACCCTATTCTTCTGATAATTTCTTTTTATTTCTTTTATTTTTCTTTTATTTTTTTGTATTTCTTCTTTACTTATATTTATTGTATATTTGACTAAAGCTGAATTGAGGTTTATCATTCTTATTTTATTAGTTTATTCTTTAATAAACTTTTTTGATAAAGTTATTATTATTTTTATTTCAAATTTTAAAACTTTAAGTATTTAATTATATAATATTATATTTTTTGTTATAATATTTTTTAGATCATTAATTACTAATCTTTTAGTATAATTTTAATATTACTTGAATTTTTATATATAATTGTTCTTAGTACTTGATCTAATTTATAATTATTTAAATATCTATAAATTATATCATCTGTTTCTTGTATATATTGAATTAAAAATTAATCATAAGATATTTCTATTTTGAATTATATATCTGTTTCTAGACTATTCTATTGATATTTGTAATTTGTTTGTTTGTTAACTTTACTAATATGTTTATGTTTTCTTAACAGAATATGTCTACTTTGTATATTTTGTTTATTAGTGATTATTGTTTTATGTTACATGTCTATTTACTGTTATTTAAAATCTAAATTAAATCTCAAATTTTTCAAAAATTTCATCTTATTTTTTACTAATATCGAGAAAAATCTATTTTGTTTCTGTCTTTTCAAGTTGCTATTTTAACTAAGTCTATTTCTTTTTTCCTTCTTAAAATTATTTTTTAATCATTCAAATGATTATTTTTATTCTAATTTTTCTGTTTTCTTTATATTCTTTGTTTTTGTTTTTTTTTAAAAATGTAAATTAGTGAAAAAAGTTTGTGAGTATAAATATTGGTAACTTAGCTTATATTTACGTATGCTTAAAAGTTAATATAGATAGTAGTTTAATTATTACAACATTTCTAATAGTATTACAAATTATGACTACAATAAATTAATCTCTTTACTTTTTAATACTTATAATCAGAAACTATCTTCCTTGTAACAAGGGTCACCAAAATTCCGGGTCGAAATACTTCGGAAGCATGATCGGCAAGGCCGGAATTAGCTAATTTTGCCCAAGTTTTACTAATGAAATCATGGACCACTTATTAAGTAAAGCTGCTCAGCTTCGATCCGACCCGGTTTGGTGATCCCCCGGAAAAAATGTTCTTAGGGTAGTTTTTGAACGACCCTCAAATTACAATAAATTTTTCGTCAAAATGCATCAAAAAATTGGCAATTGAAACTTTGTATATTTGTAAAGACTAGAGTTGTTAATGGAGTACTCCAGTCTATAATAAAACATATAACCCACTCCGAAGCACTCCAGAAGTGGGTTATATGTTTTATTATAGTCTGGAGCACTCCATTAACAACACTAGCGAAGACTTTCACATTTATCATTGCCTTCTGTACGAAACCTTTATTATTTAGCAGATAATTATTAAACATCTCTTCGCTAATGTGAACTCATGTTCTACAATAAAGTAGGCACTAGAAAAGCAAATAATTCTCAATATTCGGCTAAATCTTGTAATATTTTAAAATTCTATAATATGAAATAATGAAAAAATAAAAAAAAAAGACTAAATTAGAAGATATATCATGTGATGACCAATGATACAGTAACGAAATTATAGAAACTGAATATTAAAGATTCAAAACTTTTAACATTTACAATTTTTTTTCATAAATCATCCAGATATTCGTATTCTTCATCGATCTCTCCATCTTCTGTACTTTTTGTCTCTGCTGAAATTTCCTTATCCTGGTCAATGTACGCAGTCATTTGTGTGGTTACCTGTCCTTGGTATGTTATATGTTCTGTCTGTCCTTCTGTTTGTTCCATAAATTCACTGGCTTGTTCCTCATATTCGCTTGCTTGCTCATCGTATTCACTACTATGTTCATCATAATCGCTTAACACTTCGTCATATTCATCATTGTGTTCCCGCACTTTGTATTGATTGGTTCTGCCTGTGTATTCGGTGGATGGTCCACCATAATCACTACTAGGACCTTCATATTCACTGTTTTGTTCACCATATCCTTCAACAGTATCAGGGTATTCATTAATCTGTCTCTCATATCCATCTGTTCGCTCGCCATAGTGTTCTGGTTGCTCATCATATTCTTCAATAGGCTCGTCATAATCCTCCTCTGCATCTTCTTCTTCTGTTCGAAATTCTTCATTATTATCTCCTTCATATTCCGGGGCCTTAAGAGGTTGTTCGAATTCAATATCAATAGGTTTTTGATTTTCTCCAAACCCATCAGTTTGTTGATCGTATAAATCTTCCATCTCTATCCTTTCTCCAACTTTTTTAACTTCATTACTAAGTTTCAAATTTTCATTTTTCGTTATAATTGTTTTAGAGCTAGTGATCTCGACCTCTTCCATTTCTTCTTCTTCCTCTTCTATTTCGGGACTATTTGCCACTGACGATTCTATTTCATGCGGTGTATTATTATTATTGCTATTTAAATTCTCTCCTGGTGTAGATACTGCTGATGTGAGCGAGGCTTGACGAAGTAATGATGTTGCCTTTGCAAATGGTGGTCTTGAAAAACTTGAATCTGGTTCTGTTTCGGATGGTTGAGGAGTAGATGCTTCTGTTGGAGGTTGGATGATAGAAGCCGTCGGAGTCGGTGTGTCCTAGAATAAATTAAAATTAGTCTGATTCTAATATTTATTAATACTTTCGTACAATAAAAACATGAAGATTATCTTCCTACCTCACTATTAACTTGTTGACGGGTTGTCGCCACGACACCACTTTCATCTGCGTCATTGAAGGTTAATTTCTTATCGGCTGAAATTGTAAAAATGTGCTTAAAATAGGGATTTCTTTTAAAAACTTTCAAGTTGATCAAACCTACATTTTGTCCACTTTAATATCTCAAAGTTTTTTCCTCCGTTCGCCGGATACTGCCATTTTTTAACCCTAAATGAAAATGCCGTTATTTATAATTGCAAATAGTTAAAACAAGTAAAAAAATGATTTAGCTAAAAAAATGCTCACCAAGATTGAACTGGTTGTAATAATGCTCGTTTCAAACGATCGTGATCTGCAGCATAGCCACGGAAACCATGGTGTCGTGATGGTCTGTTGGTTGACATTTTTTTTTAGATTTTCCATCATCATAATTGTTTTTGAAACCTTAATTATCTGTGATACCTAAAATTTATATTTGATAATCTAAAGCTTGTGCCAGTAACGGTAACCCTTTTTTTCAACTTGCAGATAATTTTTTCCGTATATAAATCAACCTTATATGAATGAAGAATTATCAACTGCAAAATTTGCTAAGATGGTTTCCGACCAGCTTTCTATTGGAATTAACATCCCAGAAGTTCAAATTCATAATTTATCCATGGATACGGGTGAGTACATAATTTTTATATAATTATGCGTATTAGTACCATTTTCTTACTAACCTTCATTTGTTAAATAGGCAAAGCAACTCTCTTGACAACTCAATTGGTATTTGCAACCACTCTAGGTACCGCATCCTTTTTACTGTTTTGTTTCCTTCGAACTCGTTGGAGCACAATGTTTGCACCGAGGAGCCGTCTAGTTGGGTGTGTTGCGCATATGTACCTGCAATTCATTTTATATGCTATAGACTTATCATTTTGTTTAAAGACTTGCTCCTGAACCTCTCCCTCGTTCGTTTTTTGGGTGGATCGTTCCCTTGTTAAAAATGTCCGAGTCAGAGGTTTTGGATCGTGTAGGCCTGGACGCTGCAGTAGTAAGCCGTTTTTTCGTTTATTATCATCAGATGTTGTTAGTGAACTTCACATTATGAACATTATGACTAACTATTCCCTATAGATTTTATCATTTTTTGGAATGTCATACAAATTATTTGCGTTCTGCAGTTTATTCGGATTGGTTGTACTTTCTCCAATAAAGTTTACTGGCTACATTTATGGTAACCATAGTAAAAACCCTCAAGGTGATACTCCAGTAGGAATTCCTGAACATGACACGTCGGAACCACTAGAGTCATATGGAATTTTGTTATCATACGTTATATTCACTTGGGTTTTCTCACTTGCTACATTTTTTTTCACGTTTTATAATTATCGTGAATTTTCAATAATGCGACATAATTATTACCGCAAATGGAAACATACTATTAGTGCGAGAACTGTGATGGTAACCGTACTACCAAAGAGCTTACAAACTGAACTTAAGCTCGCTGAGTTTTATGGTTCGTTAGGTCTTGGATCGGTTCAAAGTGTGGTTGTTTACAAGAATGTAAGAAAATTAAGGCACACACTTGAGAAACGCACATATTATTTAAGGATGCTCGAAAGGGCCTACCAAGAATATTTGGGTAATCCTTGTGATTATCCTGGTTATGATCCTGATGAAGCACTTAAGGAATTTGAACAAAATAGGAAAATTTTGGTTCTTTCAAATATTCCTAAACGGCGTCCAACAATCCGGACTGGTTGTCTGGGTTTATTTGGTAAAAAAGTTGATAAGATTGAGTATTACACAGATAAGTTTAACCACTATGACAAGTTGGTTGAACAAGGTAGACGTGGCAAATATATGCCTACATCAGTTGGATTTGTGACATTTGAGAATGTTATTAGCGCGGTATTACAACCAATTTGATTACATGATAAAATGGCTGATATTGTGTCATATATCATCACATTTCTTACTTTGCCGCTCAAATTTTAGCAACAAGCTGCACAACTTCTTATATACGATGAACCATTTCAATGCAAGACTACAATTGCACCTGAACCTTGGAATGTGTATGGTTTAAATTCTCAACATAAATTGATTGTTAATGGATTGTAGCACAATTTTTATTATTATTGTTATATCTGGTATTACAGATACTGGCATAACCTTGTCATTCGCCAAAGAGAAACGCTTATTCGTACTATAATAGTTAATTTTTTAATTATTTTGATGGTATCTTCCTGGAGTTTTGCTAATTACAGTGTGGTTTCGTTATTGAAATTATCAACTCTGGAGAAAGTATTTCCATGGTTAGCATATTTGGCTAAAAAAAACAAAATCTTGAAATGGATTATCCAAAGTACATTTGCACCTCTTGCGTTGACAGTTTTAAATAATCTGTTACCACCAAAACTAATGTTATGTATGTCTTTTGCTTAAACATTATTATAAATTATTTGCTTATGCATTTAAATAATTCAAATATTGCTTTTTACAAGACTTTTCTAGTCTTCAAGGGTTTCATACCCGTAGTACAGTCGAGCTCTCTACATTTGCAAAGTACGTGTCTGTTCATATTAAAAACTTTATTCATATACATTGTACATTTATTTTTACATTCATATTAGGTATTTTTTTTTCTTGATCTTGACCTTGGTTGAAATATCTTTATCAACAATCGTTGAAGATCTCATTAAAAATCCAAGAGACATTGCAAATCAACTTGCGACAACCTTACCGGGAGTAAGCTTTCTTAATTCGATGAATTTATTAACTAATTCATAGAATAATTAACTAATTTTAAAATATTAAAATTTATAAGTCAGCCCCCCTGTTCATTAACTTGGTCGTTCTTCAAGGAATTGGTTTGTTTCCCGTTCATCTCTTACAACTAAGTGAGATTTCTTTTGCTTTGTTTATGCGTATATTCTATGCAAGAACTCCAAGGGAATATGCTGAAGCTAGCGCACCTCCATTCTTGGATTACGGTCAAGAATTACCGCCCGTCATTCTAATTTTTGTGATCGTACTTGTGTATTCCTCTATCACACCAATAATTCTCCCTCTTGGTGCAATATATTTTTTCCTGGGTTATTTGACATATAAATACTTATTACTACATGGTATGCATGGTTGCATAAACTATATTTATTCACATATGCTTTTTTTAAAAAAATATTTTTTATGATTCTTTTTAGTTTATTTTCACCCTTACGAAACTTCTGGTCTTGTTTGGCCGAAAATTTTTCATCGAATCATTATTGGCCTTTATATATATCAACTCATGATGATAGGGTATCTGTCTTTAAGAAATCGTTATGACATGGCATTCAGTTTATTTCCCCTTCTTGTTGTTACTACCTTATACTGGTATTATGTAAATGAAGCGTATGCCCGTATGGTTGCTTTCATTCCGTTAAAGACCTTAAGAGAAGAAGGAAGAATTGTCGATGATGACTCATCTTTTGCGCCTTCAACCTCTAATTCTCCAAATCCATCTAATAATGAGTCCTCTCAAATTACTTCACCTAATGTTGATAAAGGTAAAATAAATTCTCTGTCAGATATGGAAATTTATCGTGCGGCTCCGGACTTGTATACAGATTATAGTCAACCACCCATGACCTTATACGATGGCGTACTCAACACTGGAATGCGGAATTATGACGCCCCAGCATTAGTTGGAATACTTCCTTGGTTATGGCTTCCAGTTAAAAGAGACAAACCTAATGAAGTAAATAAACCTGGATTTTTCCGTCGTTTATTGGGTTTAAATAACCAGAGTAATCGGGCGACTGTTGGTCCTTATGACGAAGAACGTGAAGCATTATTAAGTGGAGTTTAAAACTGGGGTATAGTAAACCGGGTTACCCGTGACAAAACGGTTCAACTGGGTCAATCGGTCCAAAATTTACAACCCGGGTCAAACTGGTTGAATATGAAACCTCTAAAAATCTGTTACTATTACACAGAAAACGTATTGTGTAAATAAACACCCTTTTGTCATACTAAGGTCACTCCAAATTGTTCTTCGTTTAACATTAAATAGTTCACATGAGTGGGGGAAGCATAGGGATTTACTAATTTTCACCCAAGTTCCAATGGCTGGAATTATTCGCACCAAATTACATGTCATTTTATCCTTCAAAAGTTAAGTTCAATGCCAGAATTAATAGACGATCTTATAGCTAAATCTTGCATGGAATTTTTTTGTTAGTACGCGATTCATGTTATTAAAGATCGTCGATTTTATCCATTAGAAATGCGATTTACTCACGACCAATAGTAACTTGGGGAAAATTAGTGGATCCCGGAGCATAGCAGACAATCTTGTGATTGGTTAATTTTTGTATATCTATCCGTGATTTCTTGTGATAATTAAACATAATTTAAGGGTAGAGTGTACTATTTTAAAATTATATATAAACTTAGTGGTAATTTTTTTTTATATTTAAAATTTATAAAAAACTATATTAAGTAAACTAATTTAAATTATTAAGTAAAAGTTGTAGAGTAGGTTTTTCTAATTCTAATGGTGCAAAATTATTAAAATTGAATAAAAACTTATTAAAATATTAATTTTTAAACATTAGGATAGAAAATTATATAATAAAATTAACTAATAGGTTTATGTAAATTAACCAATCAAATTTTTCAATTTTGTACTATTTAAAAAAATTTTATCATATATACAAATATATTTTTTTAAAATATACAATAATTCAAAATTTTACTATAATAGATAAATAATTTTATTTATAATATTATAAAATTTTTTTTTTAATTAATTAAAAAATAAAAAAGTTTTTTTTTTTTTTAATATTAAAGCAAGTACTTGCAACTTAGGAGTTTATTGGTAATCAGTTAGCATATAACTATTGTATACAACAGTCACAGAGACAATTATAAAAAGAGTATACAACTAGGCATTTATACAACTTTAGTTATTGTCTATTTTAAGTAGTTTGCCTGAAGGTTTTATACTAGTTGTTATATTTAGAACCTGCTTGTGGGTTTTTTATTTAAATACTCTAGTTCTCATATTCACTTCACTCTACCAATTGCAGATTAACTGCAAATATGTCATGATCACTAAGTTATATTTAACTTTGTATTAAGTCTATCAGAGTTTTCTGTATTCTATACTTACAGCTAACCTGATATTATTTTGGCCTAGATCATCATTTGTAGTTAGAGTTAACTATTAAACTGCTATACTTTTGTAAAGTTTATTAGGATCTTAATACTTTTCTTTTTTATCTTTTGTCTCTTATTTCTAAACCTATAAGATTTCACAAACTACTAATTCAGATAGTCCAGTATGGTATTTTAAGATCTTTTTTCTTTGGTAGTTCTTAGTAGTCTGGTTAGTATATGTTTTTTTATATATGTTATTATCTGATCTATCCTAGTTATCTTTTTTAGAATCTTCTAATAGTCCTGTAGTATTATCAAAAGTTCATGCTATCTTTTAGTCAGAATTTTCAAGTAGATTTTTATATTTCAGTTTCTTAGTATTTTATGCCTAATAGTCTTATTATAGGTTTGCATCAGAGTCTTATGCAATACTAGTTATTAATATTCTTCTATGTATATATAATATTACACTTTATATAAATGCTCCAAGTTCTCATTCAAGATGGTATTTCTAAGATTATAGATTATCTCTTCTGTCTAACTGATCAACAAGACACAGTTATTATAATACAAATATAATTTTCAAATTTTACTATTTATAGAATTTGCACACTAGATTTGCTACTTGAAGGTTGACAACCTGTCCATTTCACTAAGTTACTACATTCTAAAAATAAAAAAGTTTTATTAATAACATATATCAATTTTAGATAAAAATTTTAAAGAGATATATAAAACTATATAAAAATGATTTATATATACTCTATTCTGAAACTGTTTATCATTTTAATATTACTAAAAAACAAAAAAAAACTTTGTATAAAGAAACTTACAAATAAATAAATATATATAATAGAATTTACTTTTTTATATATTATTATATATTTATTTTAGTACTATATTATATTTTATATTTTTTTAATATTTTTATGTAGTTTATAGATTATTTTATTTTATTTTTTTTATTTTTTATTTTTTATTTTTTATTTTTTAATCTTAAGCAGTTATGCTAGTATTTTATTAAGATTCTTAAAACTATATACATTTATAATTATATAGAATTTCCCAATACTCAAATCTAGTATCATTCAGCCACTCTATTGGTATCTAAGTACAATCTGTTATATTATTTCAGTTAGAGATAGACTGCTTATCTAACTACTTAAAGACATACCAGAAAGGTCTTTCTCTTTCTATAACAAGCATATTAATTATCTTTCAAATTTCTTTTTTTATTTGGTTCATTTTTTCTATCTTCTTTTCTTTTATTTCTTTTTTTGTTAACTTATCCTTCTTTGTTCTTTTCTCTAACCTTCTTTTAGTTCAAACATCTTTTTTTATTTTGTTTATTATATTAATCTTCTTTTTCTATTCTTGTATTTTTCTATATTGAATTTTTCAACTTGGTTATAGAAAGTATTCTATATTGTTCTTGTTATTATATCTATGCATTTCTGTGTTGTCTGTCTGTCTAAAATCTTGCTGATCCTTTTTTCAATCATATTCATTATTAGTTCTTTTATTAAAATTCTTTTATTAATGATTTTCTTTGCTTCTGTTTTCCTAAATAGCATCTTATATAGTACTAAAGCTGAAATTATAATTTTTTTTCTTTCTTTAAGACTATTTTATATTATTGTTATTGCTACTTTTTGAATTCTTTTTTATAAACTTTTTGGTCTAATGCAACTTGCTAAATGTGTTTAAGTTTCTTTTTTATCTTTTTGATACATCTGACAATCAGTTATTGTATATATTTCTGGTCTTCTATTTAATTCTTCTAGTATTGGCAGGCTATCTATTATGCATTTAATTATTGTTGCTTTTTTTGTACTAAGTTTTCTTGTTGTACAGTATACACCTTTTGTTCTAATCATCTCTTTCTAAATACTTGACCAATTATATCAAGTGTTTTCAGTTTCTGATTCTAGTACTCAAATTGGATTTGTTTTCTCCAACTAGTTTTAATTCTGGCATTTGTGACTATTTTGTAAAAAAGTCTTGCTGGTATATCAACTTTTTTGTTTTCTTATTCTAGATGGTACTCTATTTTATCACATTTGATCTTCTTTGTAAATATCATCTTTCACATATTGCTTCTTTTTTTACAAATAAATCTACTCTGTTATTACACTTATCATTACTGTGACTTTTCACTTTAACTAATTCTATTCTATTGTTCTTGCTTTTGAATAAATCTATAATATTTATTATTCATATTGCATTTTTCTTTTTCAGAACTTTGTCATCTTCTGCTTCTTGAATTGCTTTATTTATGTTTTTTAATACTGCAAAACTATTTGTATACACTTCTATATTTTTTTTCTCTGGTATAGTTGAAATTGCTAACTATATTGCTACTAATTTTGCTATTGTTACTAAGAACCAACCTTCAAGTTCCAATGTCATTTCTTCCTCTGGTCAGTTTTCTTCATCACTGACCTGCACCCAACTAATGTCCATCCTTTCTGTACTATTTTTTTCTTTCTCTTTATATAATACTCTATCTGTATAAAGAGTATATTTGTCTTTGTTTTTCAACTTGTTTCTTGTTAGAACTTCTATTAAGTAATCTGTAGTTTTACTATTTAATTTTTGTTTTTTGATTAATTTTATCTCTAATTTTTCTACTTGTTTTAGTCTGATTAGACTTTTTTTTTCTTTTCTTCATTCTTTTATTGTTCTGTTTTCTTGTATTTGTTTTAATATTATATTAATCTTGTTACTGCTTTTCTCTATTAGTGTTTCTAGAATTGCCTTTATGCTATTGTTCTATTTTATTCATTTTCTACAATGATTTGTTATTTGTTCTGTTTTGCTCTCACATCCTTTGCATTTTCTTATCTTAGTATATGTCTTGCCTTCTATTTTCTGCAATAGCTAATGCTCAGCAAGAATCTTTTTCTTTTTCTTCTTAAATATCTTACTAAGTTACTGATTGTGCTTTGGTCTATGTATAATTCATTCTTTTTTTCTTTTGTCTTCCAAAATCTTTGTCTAATTAATTATCAATATCTATGTATTGTAGTTACTAGTCTTGTATTAGTTATATATTTCTCTACTTGTCTGTGTTCTTAATATCTTTTCTTCTATTTTACTGAATTATTTGACTTTTTTCTCTTTATATAACAGTTCTAAAAGACTTTTAAGCTGTCTTCATATGATTAGATTCTCTTTTTTTATGTTTACAAGTTGGTTCAAATATATTAAATTCTATTTATTTATTGTGCTAGTATTTGCTGTTCATGATTTAATCCTAACTAAGTCTCTTATACTTATTCTATAACCATATACTTTTTGCAGATGATTTTTTGCTCTAATGTTTATTTCCATCACTCTTGCTTTAACTATTGTCTGACAAGCTAAGTTGTATTTTCAATAATTCATTTCTTCTGATCTTTTTTCAAAGTCACAGATATCTTTTATTAAGCTTGCTTTCTAATACTCTTGAGTTATTCTAAGCTTTGTTAAATTATTTAAAGTATTTTTCCTGTTAAGTCTTGCAAATAAATTGCTTATTTGCTTTGTTACTATCTCTTAACTTAGCAATTTACAGTTTTCCAGATCTTTATGCTCAATTATGTAGTTGTTTGCCATTTTCATCATATTGCACTTATGTTTTACCAAACATATTAACAGTTAGTGAATCT